AGGCAAGAAAGCAGAGAGCAGCAAGGGCAGGGGAGAGGCCCAAGACTCAGCTTGCAAGTCTGATTTGCTTTATAGAAGTCAAACACATTGCAGCAAAAATTTCTGATGGTCAAGGGAGAAAAAAATAACAGAACATTATCTTACAGTTCAAGGGCCTCAAAAAATGGCCTCACAATTAACACAGACGATTGTGCATAATTCACAGTTTGACTTCATCTCTCTGAAATAACTGCTTAAGTATTTCAGAAAAGATAGAAACAGATTTCTCTCTGCACCTCCCACCTCAAGATTAACAAGATAACAGAAAAGTTGTTTCCTTTACACTGTTTAAGGTTCACAGTTCCTAGCAGCAAAGTCTGTTTCTTCTCTAGGCAACCCCTCACCAAAAAATGAGGGGGCAGAACTGGGAGCTGAAATTGAGCACATACTAAATCATAGCTAAATGTTTATTTCTCCAGAGAACTTGCAATTGCTATAAATGTATCACCATACAGAACAGCTCTTCAGAAAGCAGAAAACTGAAAAAAGGCAGAATTTGGGACAAGGCCCCAAAGAATGAAAATCTAACACTGTGTCAAAACGCATATAACAAAAAATACCTGCAGGTCCAAATTCTGTCTCCAGTCTTCCTTCTCTTGCTGCCTTTTAAAAGATGGGGGAATAGGGAGCAACACACGCAAACTTTATCTTAATTATCTTTAATTATTGTATTCATATGTTAGTAGCCTCCTATCACCTGCTTTACAATGTAATCTTGAAGAGAAGTTCCTCTGCTTTTGCTTGACCTCTTGGCAATAGGTTAAAAAAAATCCCTATAACCTAACAATGGTGCTAGACACTCCAGCTCCTTCAAGCACAGCAAATGTTACACTCAGAATATCACTGTCTCAGACAGCTATCCCTTTAAAGGGTGGAGCAATAAATTCTTTACCATATCAGTGAGAGGTCATAAAAAATAAAAAAAAAGGTTGCTCAGTCCACTGGTCCTTCATATCAGTTACAGGGGCTGTGATTCTGCCAGGTTCCTCAACCCATAATCCATGACTGTTGACAAGCTCAGGGTGTTTTTTTGCTTCTATCTAAACAGCAACATCATTCAAAAAAACTGCCTTCTTGACTCGCTGTCATCATGAGCACAATCGAACGCTCCTGAAATTTGATTTTTTTTCAAGAGGTAAGAGATGCTGATGCAATTCTATCATCAAAAGAAAATGAAACCCTACGACTTTGTGGTCAGTGATCAAGGACTGGAAGAAGAAAGAATTTAAACAGGCTTAGCAAGACGCCTACGATCTTGGCATCTACAAGGAACCAGAAGAGCACTTAAAAACATAGATGCACAGGATCAAGAACCACATAATCTATAAAGAACATAACTGGACAGTAGCAGAAAATAGCTTTCCCACTAATTTCCAGCAATTTGATTCTCTCTGAAAAGGGTGCCTACCAAGCATTTAAAAGCAGCCTTCCTGAGGAATCAAAATCTGTTTCACCACTTGCTCACATGGTCTCTATATTTCATACCAACACAGACAAATCCTTCCAGCTGGGGATAGGCCACCACACAGAAGACAGAGATACAATGTACTGAAGAGATTTTTCAGCTGAAAAGGAAGAAAGGTCAAAGGACTCATATCACATAAGTGGCCGAAGTGCTTCTAAAACAGAAGGTGCCAAAGCAGGGGCCTTGCAGTGTTTACAAAGTTCTCACTTATCACAGAAGTTTTAACAGAAACTATATTCGGCCTTGAGGGTTTGAAAAAAAAAAGAAAGCAGGCAAGACACAGCTCAGTGGAGGCAGCACATAGCAAAATAAGAGATATTCATCACAATGAAAGAAGTTTCGTGACACCTTCACGGCAATTTGCTACTCATAGCCACTCAGCAGTGACCTCATTGAGGAATCCTACTGTTTACATACCAGTGCTAAGCAATCTTTTCGGTATCACATCTTAGTTCTACGTTAAAAAAGAAAATTTCTCAGGTTGCACAGGAAAAGCCTGTACCCACCACACCGACTTTAGAGAAAGACATTTTAAAGTGTAACTGCCACAGGCACATTTGACAGCTCTCCACGTTTTAAGAAATGCCTTAGCTATGTATCTGAGTGGCGGGCAGTCCTGACGCTACACAAAAAGAAAAAAAAAAAACCACAAAAAACCAAAAACAAACCAGAAAAACCCATTTGTTTATATTTGGACCATTCTTAAGTTTTAAAAGAAAAAAGACATTGTGAATCTCTATTAGATACGCTGAAACAATTTTAATGTTATTGTAGCTTCACCTCAATAGCCACATTTTTCTAAACTGCCCTGGCTGAAGTGCATCTTGGATAACAATCTCATAGCACACAGAAGAGTCTCTGAAGAGGTTTCTGGGAGATTTTTGGCAGAGTAATAGTTCTGCAATTACAGTAGGTTGGAAACACTGCTAAAGTGTAAATATCAACTTGGAGAAGTCAGTATTTGGCCTCTGGTCCTCCGTTCAGTTTTGCTCAAGTCACCACTACCCTGTCTGCCTGAAAACAACATCATGGTCACCTGCTAAAGTGGTAGAAAGCCAAAGCTCACCCAGCTGTTTAAAATCCTGAATGAAAATTATTTATGAACCCATTTGATGATACCGTAAGAGAGGTGAAAAAAAAAATGAGAATCACACCCCAAGTTAGAGCATAATGACAAAATTGGCATTGGCAAAATATTTAAAAATAAACCAAAACATATTCATAGGTAAGCAGCCTGCTCCAGCTTAAACATACCAGAATAGGAATCACAGGCATGCAAGGTAAAAGGCCTGAGCGATATTCTCCTTCATTAAAATCATGAGTTAGCAGAGGGAGGAACGCTTTCATCTCGCCCTGTATCCATCTGAGCAAACATTCAGTTTAGGTTGAACAGGTTCTCAGACGTGTGGAAAGCCTTATCTATTCAAAACACAGACAAACCTGTTTAGGTACGTCTGTATGAATGTTAAACAAGCAACCTGGGAGGCTAAACCAGTTTTCAGGAGCAGCCAGCTTCTCTGGCATAATGGGAAAAGGCTGGCCATCCCAGATACACACAAACTGCTATTAAGACAGCTCTACTCTCCCATCTAAATGAACGGTTTCCCAAGAATCATTATGGGATTTGAGAGAAGGCCAGACAAAGGAAAAAAAAAAAAAAAAAAGCCATCTTGTTTATAAACACTCAGTTTCATTGAGGAACAAAAAACTTCATTGCCTCTTTTGCAATTTTCATGTATCCTGGAATAAACTGAAATCACCTCTCTGAAATCGCCATTTTTTTTAATTGAGTCTGTTTCAAAGCCACATTCACATAAAAAATGACAAAACTGTAAAAATAACCCATAACTTCACACATTCATCTCAGAATCATGTTGACCAAATCTAAAGCTGTTTAAGAGGATCTACTATTTCTGCTGACCACAAAAAGATAAGGCTAGTTTCTTCATTAGCTCAGTATCTGAGGGGCTGCAAAGTTGAGAATTGTAAAGGGACCTGTGTGGACCATTACTACAGAGAGGACCAGACCCCACAGCTTTTTTTATAGGTACAGCTTTAGGACTGCAGATTATAAAGACTGAGCCTCTCACTCAGCCTTTCTTTGCCAGTATTGACACACATCGAATTCCTCATGTTGGGACTTCCATTCCCAACTTCTGAAAGAGAAAGCATGGAAAACCAAAAGCAAGACAAGTGGCCAACCATAACAAAGATGCTAAAATTGGCAGGAATATGAAGGAAAGAGAAACTCAGTTACTTATTCCAGACTTGTATGAAGCACTGGGGCACATTCTTCCCCAAAACTTCGCCTTCTGTAATGTCCAGGCCACTTGCTCACCTCTAACAATTAGTGAATTTTCCTTGCTTATCCTTTTTGACTTTCACAGAGAAACCTAACCTGTCATTCCCCAGGAACTTACTCATCACCATCTGAGCTTCAGTCAGCTCTGGTCTCTCATACACCAGATGTCTGAAAATCTCTGTTTCTCTTCAACAGTCAACTGTACTGCAGAGTTTCATAAACGAGTACTTCTTTGGCATTTTTTTTTTATAGAGGGGGGAAAAAAAACTCCAAACCCGCCACAAAACCAAACCCGGTCGTTCCAAACAACTAACCACCACATCAGCTGCTACAGAAATACAAAGTTTTGTGGCTGTGTTACACTCCCTGCTCAGGTTACAGAGTAACTGCAAACCCAGCTAAACGTCATTATATTTTGGCTGCTCTTGGAGTGACAGTGTAACCTGAAGACGTTTTTGGACCAACCTCCAAACATTAAAACGGGATAAAGTAATTCTTAGCATAAAATCATAGAATCGTAGAATGGTTTGGGTTGGAAGGGGGCACTGAAGATAATCTTGTTCCAACTCCCCTGCCGTGGGCAGAGACATCTTTCATTTAGACCAGGTTGCTCAGCGTCCCATCCAAGATGGCCTTGAAGACCTCCAGGGACGGATATATCAACCGATTAGGTTTATACTGTATCATCCTCGACTTCGCCGGTGGAATTTTGTCTCTCGAGACTCAAGCGCTGCTTAAATACAGAGAAAAACAAGCAGGCGGAAATACAAGTTTCTGGTCAGAAACGGGGCCGAGAGCGGCGGGCGGGCCAGAACAGTGGGGCAGTGACACACGGACGGCAGAGCGGGGACAGGACCGGGGACAGGACCAAAGCCGGGGCCCGCAGCTGACCCGCACAGCCCGGGCGCTCCGGCGGCGCTCCCTCGGCCGCGCCGGCCCCGGCCCTTTGTTCGCCCGCCGCGGGGGCAGCGCTCGGGCGGAGCAAGGCCTCGCCGCGGGCACCCCCGGAGCGACAAGACAGGGCACGGACAAGGCGAGGCCGGTCCCCCGGGGCCCCGCAGAGCCCGGCTCGGGGCGGGCTCCGGGGCGCGGCGCCTCTCCCGCCGCAGCGGGGCGGCGGCGGGGCGGGAGGCGCCCAGCGCCGCGTCCCTGCGTCAAGGCCCAGCGCAGCGCGGGCGGGAGCGCGGCACTCACCCAGGTGAGGAGGCTCTCGCCCAGCTCGGCGCGCTCCAGGCTCTCCACGTTGAACATGGCGGGGCTGCGGGGCCGCGGCCGGGTCGGTACCGCCGCTCCCGCCCCGCCCCGTCCCGGGCCGGGCGGTGGCGCCCACACGTCACCGCGCCCTGACGGGGCCCGGCCGCGCGCCTGCGCACGGCGGCCGCGGGGCGGGGCGGGGTCGCGGCGCGACCCGGCGGCGAGCGGGGCGGGGCCGGGCCGGGCCGGCGGCGAGCGGAGCTGAGGTACCGCGGGGGGCTGCGGGGCCCGCCGGCCGCCCCCTGCGCCCGACCAGGGCACCGGCGGGACGGAGAGGGGGGCGCGGCCCGCTCCCCTCCGCTGCGGGCCCGTCGCGGCACCTCGTGCGCCGCCAGCAGGGCTGCGGGAGGAGGGCTCCGCGCCCTTCCCTCCCCCGGGCTGTGTGTGTGCCCTCGGCTGCGGGCGCGGAGGAGCTGGTTGGGACAGGGTCCGGCGGGGCTGGGAGCGTGGGCTTGTGAGGGTGCTGCACCCACAGCGTCCTCCTGTGAGCGTGCTGTGGCTTGGCGTGTGGGTGGAGCGGCCCCTACGAGGTTTTATTCTCTTTCTGGAGCAGGAAATGACCCTGCACCCACGGAGGTTCTCCTGTTAGTGAAAGGGGCAGCCTCTGCAAGGTTTTCCTCTCTTCTTGTAGTCGAAAACAGTTTTGCACCCACAGACATCAGACATTCTTCTTTTAGTATCTAATGTGGCTTGGCTCGAGGAAGGAGTGGCCTCTACGAGGTTTTCCTCTCTTTTTAGGAGTAGATGTTGTCTTACTTTCAACAGAACTTGGCTCTAGTAAAAATTAAAGAAGAGAAAAGCTTCCAGTGTCTGAAGGGAGCCTACAGGGAAGCTGGAAAGGGACTCTTCATCAGGAGCGGTAGTGATAGGGCAAGCAGTAATGGATACAAACTGAAAGAGGGGAAATTTAGGTAAGATATCAGGAAGAAACATTTTGTTGTAAGTGTGGTGAGACAGTGGAGCTGATTGCCCAAGGAGGTTGTGGATGCCCCAACCCTGGGGGTGTTCAAGGCCAGGTTGAATAAGGCCTTGAGCAACCTGGTCTAGTGAGAGGTGTCCCTGGTCGTGACAGAGAGGGTTGGGACTAGGTTGTCTTTAAGGTCCCTTCCAACCCTTAACATTCTAATATTCTATGCTTAGCACTAGCTCCAAATGGTGACTAGGAAGAATTTCTTCACAGAAAGAGTGATTAGAGATTGGAATGGGCTGCCCAGGGAGACGGTGGTGTCACCGTCCCTGGAGGTGTTTAAGGAAAGACTGGACATGGCACTCAGTGCCACGGTCTGGTTGACACGGTGGAGTTTGGTCATAGGTTGGGCTTGATGATCTCAGAGGTCTTTTCCAGCCTAATTGATTATGTGTGATTCTTCAGGTAATTCAGTTAATTTTTAATCTCAAAGACGAGGAGTCTGTCTGTGGCCAGAGAGCTCCTGCTTCCTCACTGTGCCCTGGCCAGAGGAGCTCTCCACTGTGCCATGAAGGGGTCACCTGAAGAGTTTGAGAAACTCTTTCTCAGTAGTCGGTTAAATTCTGGCCCATCTGAAGTTTGCAGTGACAATGTGTGACATCATGATAAGTTCTGCAGTTCCCTATCAGATAAAAACTGGCCTGACATGCAACAACATGGAGTACCAGGCACAGTGCACTGATAACAGCTGAGAATTGGATAAACAGCCAAGAAAGGAAGGGTTGCAAATGTAGAAGCTGCCACTTTTTCTCTGTTTCTCAGAGTTCTTCCATTAAATAAATTAGTAGCGTGGACAAAATCTGAGTGCTCCCTTTTTGTCAGCCTATTTTGAACTAAAATGTATTGTAGAAGCCATGAAAACTTTCAAGTCTTCCCACTAAAGTACCATCTGACTGATCTCATTGTATACCATGCCGTTAAAGTTATAAATCAAATCTGTCTGCGTTTAAAGGTAGCTTTCACATTTGGGAATGAGTTTTAAAGTCTTAGAAAGCTGCACAACTATAACGTTCCATTATAAGTTTTAATGTGTGCTTTGAGCAATATGCTTGGTACTTTTGACAAACAGTGATTACACAGGTATTTTTCATTAAGGTTTTCCGCCATATCTTCCTTTAGATCCCGTTTCCCACTGCTTTGCTTGTTGCCGTGAGGTGTAGCTTGTATTTTGTTGACACAATCAAATACAGTAATTCTTTTTTGTCTTGCTGCCTATTTTACATGTGAGGTTGTATATGCCAGCGTTGCTTTCTACGATAAGGAATTCTTGGGCACTTTTCCTGGAAGAGATTTGAAGCCTCTACATTCTTAGCTGAAGTATCACCGTATTTCAGTAAACATTATCATAATTAAGTGACGGTATTTTCTTCTTCTTCCTGCCTGATCAGGGAAGTCAGATATCCAAAATGAAGGCGTTGTCAGGCTCTTCCTCATGCTCCTATCTGCATATGGATTCAGGTCCACCCTCTGGTTTGTTTACAGCTCTATACCTTTTGGTATGTTTTAGCCTTAAAAAGCAGTGCAAGACTTTGTTGGGAATCGTTTTAACAGGTCATGCATCACCCAGACAGATACTCAAAGTAGTAGTGCTATACAGGCCACTGAATTTGTCGTTTTTGCTTCAAGCCATCCATGTGGTTTCAAGCTCACGAGAAAAATATTTAGAGACTTTTTGTTTTCTCAATAGAATTTCCCTTACTGCATTGCATCTGGAATTCGCTTCTGCATTATTTTTAACTTGCAAAGCATGATTCCATCAGCAAAATAGAATATCTCTTTTTTTCTTCTTTTTTCTTTTCTCTTCAGGAAAAAATGTGCCTCAGAGACTGCTGACCTCAGACCTTGCAGAAACCTGCTTTACCAGGCAAGTGCCTCAGTTGGTCAGTTCTTAAGGTAGACTGAACAAAACCATTATTTGCCTTCTGAAATTGCTCTTGCCCTCTTTTGGCAAGACTCTTTAGGCTGTTTCCTTTCTCTTTTGCAAAGAGCATGCATGCACATGAATGTACAGTCCTGAAAGCAAAGATGGTTCACGGTGAAGATGTAACTGAATATTATATACAGCTGAGTGTGGCTGTAATTTCATTGTACCAGTTGAGCTGATTTGTAACTCATAACAATCATGCATTAACATACTGCATGAAACCCTAGTAGGATGATCCCAAGTCAGTTTTAGCAATTTTCTCACAGAATGTATCTTCTGTTATATGTTGCTATATTTGATTTTTTTTTTAATTTCCCTTAGTAAATGTGCCCTTTGGATTTCTCCTCCTGATTTTTAGACTGTATGGAGATACTTAATATTAGAGATTGTTGTGTATGCTTTATTCAAGTAAGACTGTGCTCACAAAAATGAAAAGCTAATAAATTCTCTTTCCTTAGAACCTTTTCTTTGGAGTACACAATCCATCATTTCCATTGTTTCTGGTTTATAGTGCTGTATTTGCTTACATCACTATTTCGAAGTCCAACTTCAGTACACTGAAGAACCTGTATAAAATGTATCATCTCAGGATTTAGCTGATCCAGGATTCGGGCCAGTAAACTCACAGAGTCTTCAATACTTTTACTGTTAATCATGCTTATTTCATACCTGCTGTTGTTAACTCTTTCTGAATGCACTCTAGGGGTATCTTTGAGCTCTTATAGAAAGAGAGCATAAATAACTGTAAGATCCAGTTTGCTGGGTCAAATCCATTCACAAAGTCCCGTTCTCAACCACACGCAGTGGCCATGACCTGTTACTAACCTGAAGCAGAAAGTAATTGGATAACATCTGATGGGAGAGATCTCAATTATTGCCCTACAGATAAGAATTTGTCTTTATTGTGGGAACTTTTGTCTATTTTTCCCTGAAATGAAATATGCTAAATTTATGCCTTAGATATTTCAATATGAGCTCATATGTGTTCAGGAGGCGGATTACAGAACATGCTCTGTTTTAGTATGTTTAAATTCTTTGAAGCTGATTCATGTTATCTAAAGCAGGCCAATCTTATTAGAAACATGTTGAAACAAATTAAGCCAATTTTTAATTTATTTGTTTCTCATACCATGGAAGAAAATTTTGAGGATTTAAAGCCTTTTTGTTCTTGAGAAAGCGTGACTCACAATATTTTACTAGTTGGAGATGAATTATCTTCTCACGGAAAACACATGATCTCTACAAATTAAGCAGCATTTTTAAGGGGCAGAGGTGATGTTTTTGCTAATAAAAGACAGCAAAATGACAAAAGGAATTGCAAGTTCTTATTTGCACATTAGCCCACCTTCACTGCCTTAACTTCATAATTTTTTCAAGTACTGATGGTGGCTGCCAGTACTGCATCAAGAGGAAGACACTCAAAATAAAACTGAAATAAGTGAAAAAAACCCAAATCCCATTATTCCACCCCGTTCACTCCCAGCCTGTCCCCAAAAGGACATATTGTTATAGAGGTTACTTTTCTGATTTTGAGCAAATTGTCCCATACCCTCAAAGCCAATACAGTACAGTTAATAACGTGTAGGTTAATAAAGTTAATAACTTGTATCTCACAGCAGTATTGCTTGTGTGTTACCTCACTGTTAATTTCTCAGACATCAAGAGAGCCTCTTATTTCTTTTTCGCTACACTTGCACATTCCTTTGGTAGTGGGTTCTAAAACTCTCCGTGGTTTTGAGAGTATATTAGCATATGGTACTTCCCTGATAAACTTGGAAAAGTTCGAATCCTTCAGAAAACTCTGGGAATACTGTCACTTTGGATAGCTGGCAACAGGTATTTAACATATCATGGTAAACACTGCATGGTTTTAATTTCTTTATGAGCCGTAGCATGGGATATCGTAGCTGTGCTGCCTGTTGAACATTGAAAATTTTAATAATACTTTTAAAATCTGTAAAATTAAGAACTAATACATCCACAGCAGTGCATTTCCTCATGGAAATGCATCCCATTTCCATGGGATCTGTATGAGTTTCCAAGAATGAAAGACGTTGTACTTGCGGTATTGCTTACAATGGTTCTCCTTTTTTTGCTTAAACCTGCATGCATTGTTCGTACATAACCACAGAGGGGAAAAATGTAACTTTTGAAAGGTATGTAGATTCTTATTTGAAATGTAACTAAATTAATGTTACGTTGTGTCAGTGGTCACTCAGTTTGGTAGTGGACAAGATGGTTTTCTGTTCGGAGGGTTAGTTTCTGACAGTTTTTGCAAACAAAACTGCAGTGATTTTGCAAACAGCAAATTACATTCCTTTCTATTGCCAAGCATTTTGTGGGCAGTTCAGTCTGAGGTTGTTTACATTCTGTAGCTATCAGGAATCCTAATGCAGATAAACCTTATCCCAGTCTACATACTGTGCTGCAATGTCAAGCTGCAACTTAGCTATCCCAAGTGGAATGGAGGAGTAATTCCTTGTCTTTTTTTCTCTTCTTTTCACTTCAAGCAAGTGCCAATAATCTGAGGAAAAGGTGAAATAAAACTGGAAATTAAGTTTTAGGGCTCTTTATTGCTGTTTTTAATGTAGGGAAAAGGCCCAACATTTTTGTCAGGTTTTTTAAACTTTGCAAGTGATACTTTTAACATTCTGAAGTTGATTGTACGGATTCGAGTTCTGATGTGAGTATTGTTGGATGTGGCTTGGTCTTCATCACCTAATTGGAACACAGGGCAGAACTGAGTTTTCATTTAAGAAAGCCATCCTTGTTAAATGGCTAAAAAGAGAAAAAGTCTTAAGTATAACCAATATATGTTTTTTATTGAATTAGTATATACCTATAGTATGTAGGTTTTTATGATAAAGTCTGATTCTGGAAGTCTTCTCTGACATACAGTCTTTATGAATGCCAGTTGAAGACTGAAGCATGTTCATTACTTTATTTAAGAATTAAATCACCCATATCTTGCTTATTAGTTGTACCACCTGAAAGAGCACCTCTGCTAAACACAAGCACTACGAGGCAAGATTCCTCAGCAGCTATTTTAGTAGTGTTACCTAGACTACCACGTGTGCAAACTGCTGCAGACGTCTTCATGGGCTGTTGTGGTTGCACCTTAAAAAACATGAACTGCAAGCTTGCAGTTCTAGATATTTTGTTTGAAAACATTCAAAACAAACTTGAAATCAGAAAATTCCTTCCTCCTTCAGGCAGACATTCTTTTCTAATAGTTTATTTTAACGTTGTTTTTCCTTGTAGCCACTGCTTTTTTAACATGCTAACTCAGAGATAACCGGAGGAGGAGGAGATTGTTACTGTCTCTACTGAGGCTTGAATTCAGAGAAAGTATGTATTGGTCTTTTGAACTGATACCCTTCTGTTTGTAGTTCCTAGTCTACACAATTCACGTCAGCTCTCCTGTGCAACGATCTGATTCAGAAAAAGCACTAATGAGGAAAATATGCTCAGTACTTGTTGGCTGTCCAGAAGCAGCAAGTATGTTAAAATATGAACAAAATGAGCCTTTAGCATTGATAGCTTGTCTTCTCTAGAATTCAGTGATAGAAGCAGCTGGGAGTGAGACTGAGGCAGGGATTCCGTTCCCGCCTCTATACATCTTTGCAGTGTTGATACACAAGTGAAGAGGAAGTGTCTGAGGGAGTGGCGTCTTATGTAGTGAGAAAGACTTTGCAAGAATTCCTGTTGGACACTATGTTTGTGTGGAAATGGCTCTTGTAAAATCATGTATGTTGCAAAGTGAAGGGGCGAAGTAGATACAAATAACTGGCATTATGTGCAAGAAGGAAGAGAAGGTGAGGGTCTGTGTGTTTCTTTTTCAGGTTCTGCTGGTAACTTTTGCACTGTAGTTTGGTATTTCAAGAAAAGTGCATGAGCAGAAATGAAGGCAAGCAGATGTAGTGAGTACTATTAATGGTAGGCAGATAAGGATTAAGAGTGTTGTTCCAAGGAATATACAGAGAGGGAGAGAGAGCTCCAGGGTGGATGTCTTGAAGGCTGTTCAGGGAAACTGAGTTAAGTTAGTGTGATATTGACAATACATATGTTGGTTTCAAAGTGCATCAAGCAAAGGAAACCTTTCAGGTGTTAGCTAAGTCATCTGTATCTCTGCTACAGTGTGTATTTCTGAAAAAAAAAAAAAAAAAGGAAAAGAAAAATTTTTCATACTTCATGGGATGTAGTTGTTCTTGGCATGTTGGTCTATTCTAACAGAACTAATGGAGGACAATGGAGGGATTAACACATACCAGTTCCCTGGCATTTACTTCTGATTTTGTTCTGAGTGGTCAACCCAGAAATTACGATGTGACACTGTAAAAATTAGTGGAGTGGCGATGGTACTTAAGGAGAGAAAACATAAGAACTGAAGACACTAGAATGCACAGTTGTGGAAAATGACTGTCCCAGAATGGTGTATTGTAAGAGAGAGAATCCTCTTCAGGATTGGATGTGCAAAGAAATTAAGTATGCAGCTTGGGAATGCTGAGCTGGGGAGGCATCACAGCGTCTAGTACAAATCCTCAGCACCAGGGAATTGCTGCTCAGAAAACCTACACAATATCTCCTTGTAGTTAAACCCTCATGGCTTTAACTATAGGAATACAATTGTGTAATTAGCTATGCAGAGAAATGCTGTAACTCCTCATGTAGGCTGATGTTCCCATGTAAGACCTTTCCACAAAGATCTGGTCTTTTATTCATTAGTATATACGAAACTTGTCTTAATACTGACCTACTTCAAACACGCCTGTTGATGAGTCACTGGTGTTCCACCTTTGGGAGAAGTTACTCTTTCCAAATACTAAATGACATTTCAGTAGTTAGACTATGACACAGTTGCCTATGGAAAGCTGTAATTAGCAAAAACTTATGACTGTAGTTACAGCAATAATAGTCTCAGTTCAGACTGGGACGCTTACGATAACTTAGTTTATTGTTTCACTTCATATATGCTTCATTATTCCATTTTCGTTTTCACAGTGAAAACCCAAAAAATATGACAATTAAAGGAATCTCCCCTTCATTCTCTATGAGTTTGCTCTGCTCTTATGGTGCTTTATTATGCTATACCACTTACTCTTTTTAACAATGCTGTTAGAATGTATCAGCTTTTCTTGTGTTGCTGCTACAAGAGGGCAGCCCCCACAAACTTAAGGAAGCGTGGAAAAAAAGCTCCACTGCTCATACTAGAGAAAATCTGAAGGGTGAGGCTAGCTGTCTTATGGAAAAGATGACACTTTCATATTAGCCATTGACTGGCATGTTGAAGTATTGCCAGGGTAGTCATTCCAGGTATCCACTAAAATCCTGATGACTTGTTATTTCATTTCAGTTTTGCAATTAATTCAGGGCCAGAGGGTGTCTGGTGATGTTTGGTATACAGCAAAGTTTAAATTAAAAAATGACACATGGGCCGTGAAGTGCAGAGAAACACTGATGAAAGCTTTCAAGCTTAAGGCAAACACACTGGACTGGGAAATAGAGCAAATGATTCCTGTCTTACCTGCCTTCAGAAACTGATACTGGGATTTGATGTCAGCTCCATATGAAAAATGCTTCAACTGTGTATGGATATAGCTTCAGTATGACTTTTTATGTCATTCACCCTTCTGATTTCGTAATATTCACAGCTGTTGTTTATTTCACTGTGATTGCAACAGGAATGATGTAGCAGCGTGTTGGAAACTTATTTTATTTTGCAGGTCTCCAGCTGTAGGTTAGTGATGTAGGTTAATAAATGTTAGCATCTGCCAGTCATTCTAATGGCTACATATGTGAAATTAATATAAAACAAATGAGTCTGACTAGGAAAGCCTGATAATACTCTTTTTTTTTTTTTGAGTTCTCCACATCTTTCCAGCTGAAGAATAGTAAAGCACAGATAAGACAAAGTATAATATGCATTGGGTGATTCCTGTGTATGCAAATGGGCATTAAACACTAAAACCAGATAAACCCCAAATATTCTTTTTTTTTTATTCACTAAGTAGTGCAAATTAGGTTTCTGTGTTGGCGTAGCCTAGCAGGAATTATGTGATGTGTAATAACTAAAATGCTTGATAATGCAGAGTCATTATAAATTTTTTAAATAAACTCTCCTTAGAATATATCTGATTCGGTAATGACCTATCCCTATGCAATTTATTTTGTAAAGATTCCCAGGTAAACTGAGAGTTTGTTGGTTTTTTTTTTTAAATCTTTAAATCACAACACAGTCATCTAAGATCTGTTCGCTACTGCACAAGACCTCTACAGCAAGCTCAGTGTTAAGTAAAAATAGATCCATTCCTTCTTTCTTTACAGTTTTTCCCCCAGCAATGACTATTCTGTCGTTTCAGGAATTTGTTGTGTATATGAATAGATGAGTATATATATTGTTTGTAACTATGTTTATAATGTATGTGTGCACACGCATGTCTTAATATTTATGTATATGTATGTATTTCTTTTTACATTTTAGAGCTGTGATGGCCAGTCACCAAGCAGAAGTTCAGAGTTTGAAGCTAGATAATGATTCAGTTATAGAAGGAATAAGTGACCAGGTACTGGTGGCAGTTGTGCTCAGTTTCACTTTCATTGCTGCTCTGGTATATACGCTTTTAAGGTGAGAATATGTTGACAGGAATTAATCAGCATACCTGCATTTATAAAATTCTAACTTTCTCGACAAATTTTTGCATTGGTACATAAAAACTGATTTTTTGACATTAAGGAAGTGTTTGTTTGATCGCTTACTCTCTTTCGTGGTTTAACTCACGGTTAGAATGAAATGATGCATTTCTCAAAAGTGGAGTTTAACTCTTCCTTATCTTCAGATGATCAAACTGAATAATGTTCATCATTCCTTAAAACTGAAAGTGGCTGAATTCACTGTCTGTATGGCTGCTGTGTCATATTTGGTTACAAAGTACAGATTTGTCAACAGTGACTCCAAAATTGAAGTGGGGTATAATCCTACAATGTATGTTCTAGACACAGTCTCCTTCCAAAAAAAAAAAAGAAGCCAAACCCAAAAACTTCAAACAAATTGACTGATTTGTTTATAGATGAATATGCTGTTAGAACAGTGGACTTTAATATGCTCTTCATAAATCAAAACACTAAATTCAGAATTCAATAACTCTTAATAGTCAGGTCATCAAAACTCATTTTCATTTCAGAGTTTTTCTTTGCAATCTAGCAAATATCTTAGCCTATGTGTTTTGGGAAAATGAGTCTGAGCTTCAGATTGGCTTCTTTTTGTTTTTATGGACTCTCTGGTTTTCACAACCAAGAGAACTCAATTTTAGTGACACATTGGCATTACGAAATTTACTGAGGAGGGTATGTCCATAGGAGAAATATTAGAGGGGTAGGAGTTGCTTGAGAGCAACCTAGAAAAGAAACTAGAAGTGGGAAAGCTTGATTGGACTGCAAGGCAGTGCTACTGTTCAGGAGCAGGAGACCACAAACGAATCTTAGGAGAAACATATTCTCTTCACCTTGCCTTTTTTCCTCCAAACTGTTCCAGTTACTCAGATTGCTTCAAGATGGCCTCTTTTACCTCTGCTCTCTAATGACTTCTCTGTCCATTATGGTGGCATTTTTGGCATTTGTGACTTGAATTGTCTTTAGTTTAAAAATTAAGTTTAAAATATTAAAAAAGTAACACTTTGTTTTTGAACTTTATTAAGTAAGTTAGGAACATGAAAAAAGAAGAGAGGGTCAGCAGTGGGCAAGAGTAGCAGGAGTTCAGTCAGAACTGGAGTTCAGGGAGGTGATACATCAATGATGAAAGGTTACTTGGAGAGGGAGATAAGGGCTAATTACTAACTACCTCTGCAGTGTAATGACCTAGGTAAAAGGTTTGTCTGTGGATCCTGCTACATACTTCAATGGTTTATTTTCTGGAGGGGCAAACAAACTCAGACACAAAGCTTCCAGTCTGGAAGCTTGTTTACTTCTGCATTGTATGAGTCTTGTCCAGTGACAGGACTCGAGGTTTAGATTAGGTACCAGGAAAAAGTTTTTCTCCCAGAGGGTGATTGGGCAGTGGAACAGGCTCCCCAGGGAACTGGTCCCAGCACCAAACCTGACAGAGTTCAAGAAGCACTCTCAGGCACATGGTGTGATTCCTGGGATTCTGTGTAGGGCCAGGCGTTGGACTTGATGATCCTTGTGAGTCCCTTCCAGCTCATTATATGCTATGATTCTGTGATGACTGACAGTCTTAACAGCATCCTCTTACCTCTCTGCTCTGCCTTCTGGTACCTTCTGAAATTGCCTGTATTCAGCAGCACTTTTTCTCTACCTCCTTTGTGTTGTCACCATCGAAATCTGCACAGTATGGTAGAAAAGCTGTACAGTAAAAAAGCTATAGTACTTTTAATTTATTTAGCACAAAGTGGGGGAGAAGAAGGGTATTTTCTTCTTCTTATCCTGTTATCTTAGGCATTACAATGGTCTGTGTGATCCTTATACTGTGTCCATTAGCCCAGTCTCTTTGCCACCCATATTTCTGTACACGACATCTGAAATACTGAAGTTGGGTAGGAGCAGGTCCCGGGTAAGAATACGTGAAAGAATGCTTAGGGTAATGAGCAGTTGCAGGAACAGAATGAAAAGGAAAAGTAGGTGAGTACCTGCTGCAGTAGATCTTAGGAGGCAGAAGTGGAATATGGAAAGAACTGTTAAGGGATATGGTTACTGTACTTGTTTCCAGCGCTGAGAACTCAGTGAAACATCACATCAAGGCATGAGCTGAAGGTGTTCATGGTTCTGGCAGAGAAACTTACTATCCATAATTAACATGTGTAGCAAGTTGCAGATGTTTAGTTCAGGTACTATATGATACTTTTGTAAAGCCTGTATGTTTTTGAATTATGAATTTTGATAAAATGAAGCCAGATTTCTTTCCATCATCTTTAAAACCGGTGAGTAGGTTGTCACATTACAAGTGAGATTGTAAAAATTCAGACTAGTCAACAAATTGAGAGAGAGAGACAAGGGAGACTTACCCTTTAATTCTCTACTAGGGATTTCCTGTTTGTCCCAGATGACTTACCTACTCCATGTTTATGGATCTGCAGGTTTGGACCTTTTAACTCATTTTTCTATCCCATCATATGGTTTGATTATAAGATGAAGTCAATATTTTCAGCAGAAGTGAGATCTTAATCCTTGAAAATTAACAGTGGCCATCACTGCACAGCGATGTACCAGTCCCCATAAGTACTGTCCCTAACTTTCCTTGTGTGACACTGCACACTGTATGAGTAGGCAGCCTTCCTCCTTCCAATAATAGTATTTCTGTGGGTCCCTCTGTGGTACATAATACAATCTTTCCACATCATGGGACTTTTTTCCTCAAGTTTTGGAGTACTAGCACTCCGCAGTGGGGAAGTAAAAAGCCTTTGCATCTAACTTCATTTCTTTCTGGCTTGTGTTTGATAATACCTTTAGTTACATAGCAGCATACTGGTTTTCATTTATTTAATTTATCTTCTCACTCTAATTACATGACAGGAGTTATGAGTTTGATGTGTCTGGAGCTGTGCCTGTACCTTCCTGAATATTGCACAGTGTTTTGCTACCTCATCATCTTATGCATAAGTGACAGTATATGCTATACCTCTGCAGCTGTACAAATGCTCTCATCTACTCAGCACCGCATGTGACACCAGGGTAAAGTCATATAAATTAACATTTTAGCAGCAAATTTGCAATTAGTTGTTTGTGGAGAAATCAAATTAAACTGGCTTATAATTCACATCTTCTACTCTTGTGTGAATTGAATTGAATTTCCATATGTATCAAAAGTTCTGGCAAACTGAAGGTTTGTAGCATCTAAACAAGAAAATACTTTTATACATGTATAAACATGTATGACAGACAACATCCACAAAATCTGACTCATGGAGACCCAGGGTGGGTAAGAAGAGTTTTAATAGTGCCTTCTCTTTATATAACTTTCATACATGTCACCCACATTAATGTTAAATACATTCACTCTTTACAGATAGCCATGAAGGTATTAGTATGAAAAATATGGGGCTTGTCTATTCCTCCTTGAAGAAAGAATGAAGTAGATAAAATGTTAAACATAGCACTAATGCAGTATTGTGATTGCCCACATTAAATGAAGGAAAATATTGCAGAAGCTCCTAGAGCCATTGAGGAAATGATGTAATAGAACTGTGACCAAAAAATGTCCTAAAAATTCAGCCAGTCCAGCCCTCATCTTTTACAGAGGATCAGCTTGCCTAGATATCACTCTAAGCATTGCAACATGGTTTTTTTTTTTTTAGCTTCTAGTCAAGGATAGATCACAATACCCTGAAGTAATCTTTTCTTGTTTTGTACACTTAGTGGTTAGAAATGGTTTTCCATGAGCCTTAGATAACTGTGGGAAATAATTGCTCATATCTATAGAATGAAAGCCTTATCCTGTCCCCTTTTCTCTCCATGAACAGTCTTCTATATAAACTGACATTTCTTCTTTCTTTAGTGTTTAAAAAATATGGGCAATAGTTCTTATTCTCTCCTGAACTTCCTCCATCTTCTCTATATGTTTTTATGCATTTAGCACAAAATGGAGAACAGAATCCAGCTGAGACCTCAACAGTGATGAGCAGAATGTACCATCATTGAAATCCATATGAATAAATAAAGCATAAAAATTGTTGTCAGCATATTTTTTTAATTCCAATTCAGTTCCCATTGCGCTTTTGAATTTCAAATTTGTAATATATCTATCCTCCTTTCTTCAGTGAGTCCCTTCCCTATGATTCCTCTTGGTATCTCCAACCTGTCGTTTTCTTGCCTGTAGAGTCTTTCTTTTTTAAAAAAAGAGTGATTTTAAAAGAATGATTTCTTTTTATATCCAGTCTGCTGATAGTTACATAAATTCAACATTCTAAATCTAAGAGTTTGTCTACCCTTTCTTATGTAAATGTTATGTAGCAGATAAAATTGAAATAGTAAGGAGGTTTCAACTCTATAACTTAGGCAGTAAGTGAAAAAATAATAAATCTATGAGTAAACCAACAAGTAAAAAACTAGCAGTGGAGACATAATTGAAAATTATTTCTGCATGTTTAATATAAAAGCTTTCAAGCAACTTCAGTTTTTGTAGGTTTATGGTTTAATTGTTTTTCAGATTCAGATCTAGTTTTAACAGGATTTAATGATTGATTATGGAGTCTGTCTGAAAAATCTGGCTGCTATACAGCTTTAAATGTCCAAAGTAACTTTAGGATCCAGAATAAATGTCCTGTTTCCTTAATTATTTGTGTACTTCCTTTAAAGTCCTTTAAAGCAGGAAAGAATGATTTTTTTTGCCCTTTGTTCAAGTTTCATGTTTTTTTCCAATGACTTATTTCTCAGCGTTGGGTCACAGTGTTTTTTTATTGCTTGTGTTTCCTTTCACAGAAATGAACATCAGAACATACATCCAGAAAATCAAGAGCTAGTGCGAGCTCTTCGTCAGCAGCTTCAAACGGAGCAGGTGCTGTGCTGAGCGTTGCCATCATTCTGCTCTCTGATGTGGGGTAGTGTAGACTTCTCTGAGGTTCTGGAAGAAGCTGGTTGTAGAAGCTTACTTACTGTACAGGGCCATCTTTGAAATTCATCAAGTAATGAGATAACATAGGCTTTCTTAATTAAAACTAGTTATTTGGCTGGTTCTTTTTCTCAAACAAGTTTTTGCCACAAGGTGGAGTATGTTGGATGACGCTGTGTGCTTTCCTGCAGTGCTCCTGGGAACTTAGTGGTAAAGGAAAGGAAATCTGGAGTACAGTTGCCGAGGCAGGAGAGGGCTTAGATATTTAGACTAATAAAACAGAGTGTAGCAGAACAGTGGCACAGCAGCAAGAGCCAAGCAACAAAGAGTGACAGAAACTTTTTTACCAAAGCCGTTAGTAACAGGATAGGGGGCAATGGTTTTAAACCAGAAGAAGATAGGTTTAGATGGGACATAAGGGAGAAATTCTTTAGTCTTAGGGTGGTGAGGCACTGGAACAGGTTGCCCAAAGAAGTTATGGATGCCCCATCCCTGGAAGTGTTCAAGGCTAGGTTGGACATGGCATGGAGCAACCTAGTCTAATGAAAGGTGTCCCTGCCCCTGGCAGAAGGGTTGGAACTGGGTGATCTTTAAAGGTCCTTCCAGTTCAGACCATTCCTGGATTCTATGACTGCATCTAGTTCTGACAGGTAGAGTCTAGGCCAAGTTACTGGAAATTTCTGAGTACCAGCCCCAGAGTGAAAAGCCATTCCTCTGGAGAATGTTGAGAAGAGTCTTTCGCTGTGATACTTATTGAAATAATGACAGTGCATATTTATGGGGAAGACAAATACAGCAAAATGAGGAGAAAAACTATTTCATGACAGTGACTTACACAAGCTGGTGTCTGTGCTTGGGCTTGGAAAAAACTAAATGCTGCAGCTGGTAAGCAACACAGTTCAGTTACCTGGTTCTGGACAGATCTACTGTCTAGGATAATGAAATAACAATATAGATCTGAGGTTGTTATTCATGCTTCAGCATATCTAGCCTAACTCAATGTGAAGAACCAAGGAGGTTCTTTCTTTGTGGTCTTCAACCGTGAAGCACACACTTATATAACAGATGAAGGGAAAATAATGGGCTGGTCACAAGAAGAACTTGCTTAGTGAATCAGTGCATTTAAGTGTGTTTGATTTTTGCATTTAAATATATTTCTCCTTCATTTCACATAGCTCTGTGTGTTTGACTTGTAGTAAATGAATGCTAATTTATTATTATTATTATTTTAAACCCAGTGGACTTATATAAAAACAGTATCTCTTAACACTTTGCATTTCTCTGCTGTTCCTGCAGGATGCCTCTGCTGGTGACCGACATCGCTTTTATACAGACATGTCCTGTCCAGTCTGTTTGCAGCAGGCTACGTTTCCTATAGAAACAAACTGCGGGCATCTCTTCTGTGGTAAGCAAGAAAAACTCCCAAGTTGCAAAGATAAAACCAGAACAGGAATACAAACTTTTGGCACAAGTACATACAGGCACCCTAATTCAAAGCTTTGTTTGCTTTTAACTGGCTTTTAGTCTGCATTAGAAATAATTTATTTTTTTTTATAAATAGATGAGAAAACACATTTGTTAATAAACTTTGAGTCACTTTGAGAGTGTGCTTCACTTTTTTTCTATGCTATCAGGACTTCAAATGTGGTTAATTCTAAAGTGTCAAAGAGTATAATTTTTTTCCATTGCTGTAAACAACTGAAGAGACTGAAAAACATTTGGAAATGTGCTATTTAGGAAAGCTGGTTTAGAAAGAGTAAAATATTCTGCTTGATATTATTTTTATCTCAGAGAATATTTTTTTTCTTGGAAGTCCTGAAGAATTAAGACCAAGTTCACAATGATTAAAGCGTTTGCCTTTTTGGTTGTTTTTTTGTTTTTTTTTTGTGTGGCCCTGCTATTCAAATTTAAATGTAAACATCCTACACAGCATTTTGCTTCCTCTCCTTCAGGTTCCCAGTAGGATTCTTTCACGGCATTCATCTAGTTTTATGGAGCATATAGTGCATGCCATGCCTAGTTGTTTAAATGAAAAAATGTACAAGTTTGGAGAACAGTTAAAGTACTCACATTTTGATATATTTCTTCATCTGTTGAAACTCTGGTGATACAGCCAAGTTTTTAGGATAAAGTTTACACCTCCTGACATTTTTGTGACTTTTACATTTTGAACTGGCAAAAATTTTAATTATCTGTTTCTTAATGACTAAAAAATTTGCTTTGTTTTCAGGAAGTAATACCTTAAAATTAATGATTCAGTTGAATCCTGTTCAGGATTTTTCTCATTAATAGCATTGAATTTGAATATGTTGGTTCTTGGCACCTTCAGTGAATGCTGTATACAAAATTGCATAAGAAAACGTAGATTTAACCTAACTGCTTATACACTTCTGTTGTTTTCCTTGGTGTGTAACGTATTGTTTCAGGCAATGAGGTTTTTCAGCTCAGAAGTTTAAATGTCTGTAACTTGCTTTCATCAGGTTCCTGCATTATTGCCTACTGGAGGTATGGCTCATGGCTCGGTGCCATCCGTTGTCCAATCTGCAGGCAGACGGTAATATTTTAAGAAGTTGTGAACCTGACAGTTTGGCTATCTAGTACAGCTTGCCTCAGGGCACTTACATGTCAACCTCAGTAGTGAGGCTGACAGATGAAGAAGTCTGAGAAGCTGACTTAATAGAGAGATATGTAAAGACATCAACAGTGGACATTCAGTTTTTCTGAGCTTTTTGCTTTCCCAAACAGCTCAAAAAATACGGATTGTTTCTGCAACTCAAATATAAGTAAACAGCGCTAAGTCAGACATTTTTCTGTAAAAGAATATATGAAAACAGAAAATTGTGGGATTTTAACTATGATCCTTTCATGCTTTCTGTTTGGGATCTAATAAAACTTCTTTACCAGAACTTGCATCTGAAAGGCCTGGCTGTTCTGGAAGACTGCCAGTAGGCAGTACACTACTGGTTTCTGAGAAGTACCCTCTCCCTTCCTTCTCTCCCTACCAAAAAAACCTATCCATGTCAATTTCTTATTTTGTCCCTATTTTTAGCTTGTATGTATTATTAATTTGAGCTTTGTGGAGCAAGCATTAACTTACTTCCTACGCGACTTACTTACATTGTCAGTTTGAAATATGTTCCTGCAACTCATTAACTCTTTCTTAGGATCTCTTGAGTCTCTGATAGTGTATGTTTTAACGAAAGTACATCTTTATTTTATCAGTGCACAAACTACAAAGCTACTAACCTGTGATGAATTGTATAACTCGCTTCTTGCCCTTACCCCTCTATTATATCCTGCTTTGATTGTGTTTTTCAGCAGGAACAAATGACTGTAAGAACACAGATGAAGGAAAGAATAATAGGTATGACTGGAGGAAGAAGGTGTAGGTTTAGAGTGTAGTCAGTGAGGAAAAAGACACAAAAGCTAAAAGTGAGGAAGGGGGAAAGTGATTTTTTTAGTGTCTTTCCTTACATCTATATTCATTTACCTTCCTCTGAGCAACAGATAAATTAGGTGGTACTGCTTGCGTGGTTATGTATTTATTCTCACCCTAATTTATAAATGAGGAGGGGAAGTATGTACACATGAACAACATGAGTCATACAGAAGGTTTGTGGCAGGGCTAGGAGTTGAATGTAGATCTGCTCATGCTGTCATCTGCTAAATGTGACTGCCACACAGATTCAAGATATATGTGAATATTGTGGCAGTTTGGGGCACCACAATACAGGAAGGATATGAAGCTGTTAGAGAGTGTCCAAAGGAGTGCAGTGAAGATGGTGAAGGGCCTTGAGGGGAAGCCGTGTGAGGAGCAGCTGAGGGTACTTGGTGTGTTCAGCTGGAGAAGAGGAGACTGAGGGGAGAGCTCATTGCAGTTACAACTTCCTTGGGAGGGGAAGAGGAGGGGCAGGCACTGATCTCTTCTCTGTGGTGACCAGTGACAGGACCTGAGGGAATGGCCTGAAGTTGTGTCAGGGGAGGTTTAGGTTGGATATTAGGAACAGGTTCTTCCCCCAGAGGGTGGTTGGGCACTGAACAGGCTCCCCTGGGAAGTGGTCACAGCACCAAGGCTGACAGAGTTCAAGAAAGGTTTGAATGATACTCTCAGGCACATGGTGTGACTCTTGGGAATGGGTCTGTGCAGGGCTGAGTAGGACTTGTGATACTGTGATTCTGTGAATATGACCTTCCATGTTGATCTATGTTTGCATGAAAGTTAACCCAAGAACAGAGCAGAATTCTCTGTGCTTACTGAAGAGCTATTCATTTATTATTCTGTATTATTCTCCTTCATCTTGGTATGAATACTCATATGCAAAAATGTGAGTTTTGCTGCTTGTTTGTTGACATGCAAGGCCATTCTAACAATACAAAAAGAAAGGCCTCCTTGATTGCTTTATTTGATTTTCAGTTTAAGAAACAAAATTAGATTAATTTGGTAAATTGACTTTGTTCTCATAATCATCTGTCCCACTTATGAAACATAAAGCATTTAGGTGTTTAATAAAAATATGTGTAAGCCTCTTTTGAAAGGAAGGTTCTTGGGCTTTTTTTTTTTTTACAATCTCTTTAAAAATTAATATTCTGCAAAGAACTGTAATCAATTAATTAGTTAAAACTTAATAGCGGTATCCATGTTAGTTTATTTAGTTTCAGTTTATTCTCCTATTAAATATTAAACTAAACCAAAGTTTGTTCTGTGTAGTTAACTGAAGATGACTGTTCTCATTTATGGTTCACAATGCATTTAAAAAACAGTTGCACATGTAACATAACCTCCCTCTTGTGCCTAGGTAACGTTGTTTTTACCACTCTTTGGTGAAGATCAGCAGGGTGCAAACCAAGTGTTTCAAGATGTTAGTGATTACAATCGGAGATTCTCTGGACAGCCCAGATCTGTAAGTTTTGGGTAAATTTGGGCGGAAGTCAGTGGTTTTAGGAGAGATTAAAAGCATTTTTTTAATGATTTTTCCCCCCTTCCTTTTTTGTTTTGCCCTGGAGTATGGATTTTCTCTTCATGATGCCTGGGTCTCAGGCAAGTTTTTTTTTTTTAGGAAATTCACATTTATATAGTTAGGTCAAACCCAAGACCTCAGTTATTTATTTGTAATTTGTGGAAATGTACAGAAACTTGCATTTTTGTTGTGAGTGAGAACTGCTAGTAAGTCTTGAGTTCCCTGGTCATGTGTTAAGCTGCTTTTTAGGTATGAGTCATTATTTTGAAAGGATCAATAATTATTAAAAATACTTACTGAAATACATGACCTGCAAGTAAAAATATTCACTTGATTGATCTCTTTACATTGATTAGAAAAGGTTCTACTCTGCGCCTTTCTTCTTCAGAGTTCAAGCTATATGCTGTCTTGACTTTTTAATTTTCCTCACAGATTATACTTCAGTCTTTATGCTCCTCTCTGAGTGATGAAAACAGGATTTTTTTTTTTCTATAAACAGCTAAAGAGTTCTGCAAACTTTTGAATGTCAGCCTTGTGAGCCTGTCTTCTGTGTGTGTGCTGGTTCGCAAGGTGAAAGGAACACGCACACATACTAGTAACTCCCTGCTTGTCTTCATTTGTCCATTGGATTTGGATATAGTGAGAAAACATCAGCAAGAAAAATTTACAGTCCAAAGAGACAGAAGAGGGAGGGTTTTTTTTTTTTCATGTTCTAAACCACAAAGCAGTTATGCTTTTGATCCAGAATAGTTTGAGACTATCTTTCAGGCTCCATTAGACCTCTCTGTGGGCTCTGTGTCTAGTCCCCAGTAACCTGTCTGACAGCTCATCAGAAGTCTGCACTAAAGCCCTAATTAGACTAGATAAATTGTCTTTGATTTATACACAGTGTTTTGCCTTCACCACACACAAAATTCCTTTCTCGAAAACCTTTTCAGCCTTGGCAGTAACTCATTGTAATGGAGTTTAATGGCCCTGTGTAGAAACTGTGTACAGTAGAAAGGAACAGGTTTAAAAAAAATGTAAAAGTTCACCCCTTTCTCCTCTTCACAACCAAAGCCCAAATATTTTCTACTGAGCAGTCCCTCACTAATGTGTCAGAATCATAGTAGAAAAATAGAAAGGAGCCAGGAATGGATTAAAGGTTCTTTAGTATATTTGTTTTCCTCCAGTAGTCATTGCTTTTCCTTCATAGCAGATGCCAACGTATTTCCTAGTGATGTATGTTTTGTATTATACAATAACACAGTTTGACTATTTATTAAAAGCATATATATTCCAAATCTGCTGTATTAACCCACAAAACTAAATCGTTAAGTCTTTTCTTACTGTTTTTTGTTTTAATTGCTATAAACTAAAAGTTTCTAATCTGTCATGTAGTGATAGAAACTTCAATTTAGCGTGGATGTGTTGCTAAAGCCAGATATTAACTTTTGGTTTCTTTATAGATTATGGAAAGAATTATGGATCTGCCCACTTTACTGCGACATGCTTTCAGGGAGATGTTTTCTGTTGGGGGCCTCTTCTGGATGTTTCGCATCAGAATATTCCTCTGCTTAATTGGAGCCTTGCTCTACCTGGCTTCACCTCTGGATTTTCTTCCTGAAGCACTCTTCGGAATTCTGGGTTTCTTGGATGATTTCTTTGTCATTTTTCTTCTGCTGATATATATCTCTATCATGTACCGAGAAGTGGTGACACAGCGTCTGAACAGATGAAATGGACGAAAATGGCCCAAAAGCAGAGGCAGTTGTGGAATGTTTTAAAAAGAGAACTGTAATGTAAGTATGATATGGCAAGGTGCCTGTGTACAATTTTAGTAGTAACAGTTTCTTAGCTGGTTGGCTCATATAAGTATGAGGGGTTGATATGTGGTGATGCTTAACTGGAATCTTTAATTTGTGCATTACATATGCTTCTTAAGGAGGAGATTAGTTTTATTGTGTTGTAATAAACTACCTTCATCTGCTTCCACCTGATGAACAGCTGTATCTAATCAAAGCAGGAAACACCTTTTTGGTGTGTTGTGGTTTGTGAAAATAAAATTCTAGTAAAGGACTTCAAACAGTAAGTCCATTTGAGTGATCTAAACAAATGTAAGAAAATTCAGAAATTCTTCACAGTACAGTTGTCATGGCTGAATTGTTCGATGTCTTACTGTTGTGGGGTAGAGTTTTTTGAAATAAAAGTAGCTTTGTGTGTCTCTGTGGAAGAAGAAACCCAAAGACTGCATTACAGTTATCACCCCGCAGTTTGCTGTTGTCCAGATGCTTCACAAAAGCAAGGGTGACACCTCAGTGTTGCTTGAACTGCACTGTGTACAGTTGCATGCAATTCATACCATTTTGGTTTTGTATTTGGGTATGTACACAAGGTATCTGATCTACGTTTTCTTTTTTGGTTGGTCGACTTGGATGTGGATAGAAGGGGTTCTGAATTACCTTGAAAAATATCTGTGATAAGGGACCACAAAAAAATCCTGGAAATGTTTTTAAAAATACCAGGGTATTAATCATCCCTAAAGCTGATCTTTTTTTTTTTTTTCATGTTGAATTTGAGCACAGGCTATCATAGTAATTTGAAAATACTTTCATTTTAAACAGGGAACGCCACTAGAAAGGTCCAGGATGTGACAGATCAATGTATTTTTTAGCTAGAAGAATGATGATTGCAATTTTATTTTAACTTCCTGAGTACTTGAAAGACAGTGAATTGACAGATGATTCTTAGCGTGTTTACATATATGAGATGAGACTTACAATGAAAGGGACCTTTTCACAATTTCAGTGTTTTCTCCATGCAGGTGTCTTTCCACAGTTTCTAGCACTTAGGCATGTGCAGGAAGATGATAGAGCTGGAACCTGAGGTGTCAGTGGTTGGGGGTGGAGATTGTCCTTCAATGTCAGTGTTTTAAATGACATTCATTTAAAACAAAATTCTCTGATTCTTCATTTGAAAATTTACTTTTGAAAATCCAGAGACATTTTACAAATTAACTGGAAAGCTAAATTTTTCTTTATTGCTGTTTGTTAGAGATGGGCAAGAAGAGAAAAGGGAAGTGCAACAAGGGTAGGAGGAGGACAGCTAGACAGAAAATTACATTTTTGGAAGCAAGTGCTGTTGGCTTTTGCAAACTCACTGTTCTTGAGCTTCTCAGTTGAGCTTTTCCCATTTTGTTGGCACTGCTAATATATGGTGATGGTTTAGTGGCTACCTCAGTTAAAAGTCATTAAAGTATTATTGAGTAAGCATGGGATATTTATAAGCTGTTAGGTACATTTACAAAACAAGATAGTGATCTAGGATGTTAGGTAAGACAAGATTTCACAGTTTTGCTGGAAGTATTGTTTTGGGGGTTTTTTTGTTTTCCCGAGAAATCCAGCTGAGGGCAAACTCCAAAAATTTATTTTTAATTGAGTAGATTTAACACCCCCTTTTCTCCCGGAGTTTAACTTGTAGGTCTGTTTAGAGAAGAGTGTGAACTGCTGTTGTACAATAACTGGAGTCCATTCACAGAATTTGTTGATCTAATGTCTCCTCCATACTTTTACCCTATGATTGTGTTTACCATTTTCCCGTGGTTTTCTAAATCCAGAGTGGATGTAGATGCACATGAACCTGCTTGCTGATTTGTGTTCTTTGAGCTTCCCAATCCCACACGCTACTGTGAAGTTCATGCGGAAATATGCATCCAGTCTAAGGGGTCTGTTCCTGAAGAGCAGACCTTCTGGCGTACCTGAAATCATACACAAACCACATCTGAATGCCTATGTGAAGTTTCCCCATGTTCCTTTTCTTCAGTACATTTCTGATGGCCAGAAAGGTTTCACTCAGAGGCTTCTGCTTACTTTTGGATATTGGGTAACATTGTAAGCTTAAATTCAACACATTAAATGCTTGACAGAATTAGGACCATCCTTCTTTTTCACCAATACGCGTGCTTGCTTGTGAATACTCTTTTTTTGGTCCTGCAAGCTGGTGACAAGCAGTATTATGACTTGCTCAGGCCTTTTTGTGTAATGTGAAGATGCATCTGTCCTGCGGCGTCTGGCTGCTGCTCCTTTACACAAATCTGAAATAGCTGTAAATTAGCTATCTTGGGCACTTATCTTGAACTTAACCTAAGCTCTAGAGCTCCCAAGAAGCTGAAGATTAAAACATGAGCGTGTGTTATTCCTGAACTGTGTGCTGCCAAGTTGTTCTGGCAGCAATGTTAAAGGTAAGGGCTGGAGCTGAGCCCTGGCTTCAGGATGTGAAGAAAATATGTGTTGCTGTGTGCTTGGTTTTGTCTCCTGGGATGGGGTTGGCGTGTCACTGGGGGTGGGGGGAGAAAAAAATGGAAAACTGTATCAGGAAGAGTTACGGAGATAAAATGCAGTCCTTAAAAGATGACAGTGTCACCAAAAAACTTTGTGAAATACATGATTGTTCCAGCAATATTAACAAGGAGGAAAACAGAAGTTATATTTAATAGCTCTTACACAGTAACTTGTAGCATCTTGAGGCCTAATGGTCATCGCTGTACAGAGCGATCCGTTTCTGTGCTGTTCGTGTGCCACACCAGTGATGTCTGTGAGGACCAGGCAGAACGGTGTGGTTTGGGGATACAATTTTGCTGTAAGTTTCATAGAACTGTAGCAGTATGTTACACTAGATTTTTAAGACAAAAGGATATAAAACTACTTGTTGTTACTTTTAATGATAATAAATTGCTGTTAAAGTAAGAGATTCTCTTGTATTATTTTATTGACTTTCTGGCTCCAATATTTTTTTATTTCCCCTTTTTTCCACTTCCCTGGGCTAAAGTTGTCAGTGTGGCATCCCACCCTTAGGGGAAAGGGAGCACTCAAGATTCATAGGTGCTCATGGTTGAAAGGAATGACAAAAATCAGAGGGTCTGCAAAAGCTTACAAGGTTTTATTAGTAGATTACACACTTTGCATGGAAATTGGTGTGTTAGTCCTGGACCTACTATAAAAGTAGGTTGTGGGTTTTGAAGAGTTGGGTAGGGTGAAAGGGAACAGAGAGATGAATTAAAGAGGGGCAGAGAGAAAGAAAGGGAAAGACAGATCACCAGTCCTGGCTCCAGCATCAAGCCAGCTGGGGTGTCCTGGGGGTGACTGTGCACCTGGGCTCACTGTGGGTACCTTTTATAGATAAATTTATCTGCCCTGGAGATAAATTTCTCACTTTCTGTGCAAATTAATATTTATACACAGTCCATTCTCCTAGACCTTCCTGGAAATTGGTTGGAGGGCTTTGGGGATCTTTGGATCTTGGAGGTCTTGATTCACCCCTGCAGCCCCTGCCCATTCTCAACCTCATTCCTGCGCTCACGCTGTGCTGTGTTGTGTTTATCTCCAGGAGCCAGAACAAGGAAGTTTGTCCCAGAAATGTGCTGCCCTACCTCCATATGGCCCCTTCTCCAGCCACATCCTGTTCTTTCTCACAGTGTGTTGTCACCAACAATCCTTGTGTGTAATTACCAGCAATCCAGGGTTGGCCCCACAGCCTGTTGGTGTTTGAGGCATACACATTAGCCTCCTTGTCTTCTAGGCCTCTGCAGGCAGTAACTCCTCTGCAGTCTGATCAACTCTTGACTTGATGTCTGTGGACAGAGTGTTCAGAGATAACTGAGTGGTTTTCATCTTTATGATTGCCGTTAGAAAGATTATTGTACATGGGATGTCCTTCCCTGAGCAGTACCTTCAGATCCGTGGGCACTAAGCTTTCAGGATGATAAACCAGTACAAATGAGCAGTTAGCACCTTCACAGAACAATCCTCAAGCAAAAAAAAAAAGGTATGAAGCCAAGTGGATGAGAATGTAAGGAAACAGCAAATAGTCTCTGTGGGTTTACAGGAAGGATGAAGGTTGGGAAGAACCAAATGTGGCTGGTCTGTGCTGCGGTTCTGGGCCTTCCTTGATTCACGTCACGACAAGGCCCTGGGCATCAGGAAAACATGTTCCATTTTGCTAAGAAATGTCTAAAAAGTATTAGCCGGGAAGTCCTGTGCCAAGTTGGGCGAAGTCTTTTGTGAACTTTGTAGCCTGCTTTGGCACACAGTTCCAGTGTTTATGGTGAAACATGTAATTGCATATTTGGTAACATGCTGTTAAATCAGGTACACACTTGTCCTTATGCCTGATGCCCCTGTGCTTGCCATGGGAAGCTCGGCTAAACACTCAAGAGTTCCTCGGCCAAGGCTGCCAAAGTAGATGGCTTTTTTAGGAAGTCTGTTGTACAGTTAACGTTGTAGGTAGATTTTCTGCTCCCAGCTGCCAGCCAAACAGGAAACTGCCCATTAGTCACCAACACTGGAAGCCACACAGGCGTTTGTTGCAAGGAGACAGAGCAGAAAGTCTTAATATCCGTGTTTCTTTGAGATGGTTGCCTTCTTCCCTTTTGTGGGCAGTGTGTTTTTGATCAGGGGAAGAAGCTGCTGAATTTCATTCAGTATATGATTCCCTCAACTCAGGAACCTGCAGATGTTCAGGGCAGAGACAGGTCTGCAGATCCTGCTCCCATGTGGACAGCACATCATCAGACACTGTGGTAAGTAGGAGTGCTTTCTGTAAATCAGTAATTTTGTTCATTCAGGGTGTGAGAAGCCAATCCAAATAATAAATAATTAATACTGCAAAATGAGCAAAAAACCACAGGAAGTTAGATTTGAGTTTCCCATTCTACAGCTTGGATTCAGCCTCTTGGTATGCCCCTGCTCTGTATCACTTTGCCTTATGTAAGATATTTGTCACTTCAGCATCCACATAGAAGTCTATCATAGGTACATTTTGTTTGTGCCTAAGTAATCCCAGATCCTGCCATGGACATTTCTACTGCGGCCTTCAGGGCAAGTGTTAGGGCTGCTGGGTTGAGTGAGTGAAATCAAAGGGTGTGGCGAGGGTGGGGGGGAGCAAAAAGTGTCCTCTTAAAGTAAATTTCTAATTGTATGATCTACTCTTATTGGTGCTGCATGGCCCTCTATGAGGTCATCTGAGTATCTTGTCTCTCTTTGTTTATGCTAATGCTAGGTCGAAGGCACAAGAATTATGACAACACTAGAAAATACATCCGGAAGTAAAGGTTGGAGAAACTGGTATTTTGACTCCAGGATAGACTGAGGAAGACAAGAGTCTTTAAATATGTTAAAAGAGGGTGCTATTTCCTGCATTAGGTATGATTGGAGGAATGAATATGGCTGAGCTTGAACGGTAGCAAATGAGACTTAGATTAGAAGAAATTTGCCAAAGTGAATGAGGAGAAGATTTTGTCTGGTGAAACATCTCCTGGGAGGCTTCTGAAGGCAGGCAGTGACAGTTTTCTGCACAGCCAGTCCTGGGGAAGGAGCAGAACAATTAAAAGGTGTCTGCTTCCATGGCAGCTGTTCTCGGCCTTAATAGGTGTGAGACCAGCTTTCCTTTCCCCAGAACTTTTGCTAAATAGCAGTGTTTAGAATCGATGGTATGGCAATATGGCTCCACCTTATTTTGGGACACCTTAATGATTATTTACAATAATATTCCATGTTATTAGTAAAACTCATTGTTTGTCTGATATTTTCCAAGAAGAATGTTTTTTCATGATTAACAGATGCTTAATTGGTGGGAGGGAAGGAGAGGGGAAAGGAACATAATTGATAATATTGAGTCCATTGCTCATTGCTGGCAGGTAACCGATGGGGAACCATGGGTGTATCAGGTGTTAGTAATAGCTTGGCTAGAATATGTTTCATGGAAAGCTGTTCAGCTTCACGCTAGCATATGTTGTGCTTCACAGTCAAGAATTATTTTCTCCCTCCTCCCTCTTTTTGCCCTCATTCTGGAAACTTATTTCTTCTCTTACCAAGATGGGGTTGCAGCAGAACCTGAAAATAATCCATGCCACACTTTATATAGGGCAGTCAAGTGCTGCCAAGTAAATCACCTTTTCCAGGGAGAGGCTTCCCATCATCCCCTGGGATGTGTCCTTACTCTCCAGAGCATAAGGTCACACTTTTGTCCTTCTTGCCTTCTTCACCATCTAGGTACCAGGGGTTGGTGTTTTCTGATGAGACTACCATAGTGCCTGGGCTCTAAGGAGGGTTGTGGTATTCAATTTATTGCAGGTTGGCCCAAAATATGCCTCATCAGCTTGCCAGTTTATGTCAGTTTATGTTTTCATCCCATCTAGGGTCTCCAGCATCCAACCAACCTGACCTGAAGCTGCTGTAGTTTCATTTCTCTTTTCCTTGCAGGTTTTTGCAGTTTTGTTCATTCCAGTCCTCCTTTCTTACTGTTCTGTGTAAGGAAAGCTGTGAGGATTGCAAAGCAAATTCTGATTAATCACTTGCTCATATTCCACAACAGTTCACACCTTACCCCTGAATATCCCTTATAGCCAACTCCTTAACTCTCTTGCATCTCACAGACATCGGGAAGGAAGGTAGAAATGTCTGTGGTCAAAGTGCTAAACTCCTCATGTAGCAACCTGAAGAAGACAGTTCAGCACAGCTCTGTGGTTCTGCCTCCCCTCCAGACAAGGAGCTGGGGGGTCTGCTGCCTTTTCCTAAGAAGAGCTTGAAGTCCAGCAGCCTTTTGGCTTATATCTGTAATTTCCCTTAGTAGTGCCTCCTGGTTTGGTAAGTGTGGAGAATGAAGACCAGAAGAAGCACAGCATCACACAGACCTCCTAGTGAGGCACGGCCGTGTTCGTGCCTGGGAGGCTGGAGAAGAGCCCGTGTACTGAGGAGCTGTTGCATGCAGTTTCAGTCACATCTAGAGAGACTGGTTTTCTCTGTCACTGAGGTTGTCAGGTGCAAGTCTTTTCTTGATGAAAAACAAGGCACTGCTTTGAAAATAATCTCTGTGGTGCTAACCTTTATTTACATACGGGTATTTTGAGCCCCTGGGTTTCTTATTCTCACGGTTTCGTACGCAGCTCCCACAAGCAAGGGTTGTCTCAAGGTGAAAAGAAGAAGAGAAAACTCAGTCAGTAATCATACTGCAACTGCAAGAAAGCTAGGAAAGAAACCAACCATATAAGACACATGATTAAAACCACAAGGACTGCAACATGGTGCAGGCAAAGCCATTCCTCTGGAAATCCTGTGAACTTCCCATTCTGGGCTGCTAGGAAAACCCTTTCCTGGATTCAGATTTTCACTGTTGATTCACCTGGCTCGTAAGAAACAGGCAATTGGTGGTAATTTGAGATGTTAGATTAGCAGCAGAATTAGCCACACTACCTCAGCCCCAGCAGAACTTGTCCTGTCTTACCTCCTGCTCTGCAGCAGTCTGCTGTCCTCACTGAGTGCCTCAGTGACTCACAAGGGCACTGCAGATGCTGTGGTAGATCTGGGGCAAAGGGGCATAGGAGAGAGCTGAAACATCTCCTCATAATCCAGGAGATTGCTGGTGTTTCGTTGCCAGGAATGGGAGAAGGAAGTAGGGAGATCTTTACCCTTTGGAGAAGAGAAAGGGTCGGGGACCACCACCTGCCAGGAAATGCCTAAAAACAGCCCCCAGTATGGAATGAGACCTTGTAACAGGCAGTGAGATGAGATCCTAACAGGGGCCCATGCTAATCCCATGAGGAGCACAAGGTGGACAAAAAGCAAGGCCAGGGTGTAGTTGCAGCCTGGGCACTGGCCCTCCGTGTCAGTGAGCTGATGGAGGGGAGCTGCAGCAAAGCAAGACCTGCCCCACTGCTCCCTGAGCACCTCAGAACAGCTTCACTGTACTC